ATATATTTTCGTCCGATTTAACACTAGAAAGACTGGAATTTTGTATATACCTATATTGCCTAAAATCGGTCAAAATAACATCATTCTGAAAAAAAATTATTGTGTAAAGAAATTTTTTAAACTTATTTTTTAATGTTGTTGCACTGATCTGGTCATATAAGAAATTTACTTCATACAATAATAAAAGTAGTTTGATTATTTAATATTTCACAAGAGGTCAAAATTACCGATTTTAGGTATATAGGTATAGCACATGTGAATACGGGGAATGAAAGAGGGTGGGGAGCAGCTACTATGATTAATAAACGTAGATCTATGTCACCAAATTTTAAAAAGCTGTATCATAATATACACAATTGTTTTTGTACTTGAAATTGAAAAATGGTCAAAATGACCGCTTTCGGCAATCTAGTGTTAAGGTAAAGTCCCTAAATATCTTTCGATTTCCACGAAATTTGGTACAGCGTACTGAATAAAGACTACACTGATGTGTGTAGATATAGCTACCATATATATTTTCCTCCGATTTTAGGTAAATGGTGCACTAGAGTCCCTATATCTCATTCGTAATGAACTAAGTATAACCTATAAGATAGATATAAATGCTGCACCAAATTCCCCAGGTTGTTGTTGTTGTAGCAGCTAGTACTGCTGTGTATTTCCAATTTGTCTTAATCTGGTTCTGCCTCTAACTCCAAATTCAGAAAGGCTGCGACCTGTATAGGTTGAGTCCAGAGAGAAGATGGGGTTAGGAGAGTGGGCTTGGCTGGGCAATTAAACAGATGTAGCGTATCATGTGGTCCGTTACCACATGCCGGGCAGACATTGTCGACCTCTCCATCAATCCGTGCCCAATACGAATTGAGGCGGCTACACCATCCAGATCTCAGCTGTGCCAAGACCACTCTAGTTTGTCGAGGTAGCTGCTGCTCTTCTGCGGCTATCTCAGGCGGATGGTCATCGAGGATGGTATTCACACGATATTCTTGAACTGCTTCCTCAACTGCGTCCGTGTGAATACTGTTCAATCCTGCTTGATAGGCCTGTTGATCTAGAGGCTCCCTTTTGTATCTCTGGACCTCTCTCTCCAGATCATGGAGATCCTTCCTGACATGCCTGGGTGGTGGGTGCCTATCCATTAGGTAGCGGTTCGGATGGCTGCTCCTATAACACCCAAGCAAGTATTGCATCGACAACATCTTGTTGTGTTGACGCACAGGAAGAATCTTCGTCTCCTCATGCAAGTGGTCTATTGGAGTCATGAGGAGACACCCTGTTGCAGTCCTCAGGGCGGCATTTTGGCAGGATTGAAGATTTTTCCACTGCGTTGCACTAACGTTAGCGGACCACACTGGCGCCGCATAGTTTACCACAGACCGGCCTATTGCCTTATAAGTCGTTAACAAGGTTTCCTTGTCAGCTCCCCAAGTGCTGCCGGCTAGCGACTTGAGAACCTTGTTTCTGCTCCTGACTTTGTCGCAAATAGCTGTGGCATGCGCGGACGACTTGTATAGGCTATCGAATGTGACCCCTAGAACCTTGGGGTAATTAGTGGTCGGAATTGTGGACCCCTCGACCTGCACACTCAAAGATAGCCTCATTTCCGCTGTCCATGTGGTAAACAGTGTGGCCGTTGATTTAGTGGCGGATATTTTCATATTCCTCGACCGGAAAAAATCTGCGATATCTACGAGATAGTGATTCAGCCTCTCGGAAATGTCATCAATTTTTGGTCCTGACGACATAATCGTGCAATCATCCGCATATGTCACGATCTTTATGCCGTCCGGTGGGCGTGGAATTCCAGAGAGGTAGAGGTTAAACAGTTCCGGAGATATCACCCCTCCTTGGGGAACTCCCTGTTTAACTCTACGGGCCTTCGATTTCCTGTCTCTGAATTCCACGTACGACTGGCGTCCACACATATAGTTCACGATCCAACGTTTCAAACTTGGCCGGAGGGTTGTTCTCTCGATGTCCTCGAACAGCTTGGCGTGACTGAAGGTATCAAATGCCTTTGATAGGTCTAGCGCCACCATGACTGTCCTGTTACACGGCCTGTTCTGGTTGAGTCCTTCTGCTATGTGTGTGGAAATGGCGTGGAAAGCTGTTGTTGTGCTATGCTGTTTCCGGAATCCATGCTGATGATCAGCAACCGAGTAGCATTCACGAATGCTGGGGAGTAGTAAAGCCTCAAGTGTCTTGGCTACTGGCGACAAAAGTGAGATTGGCCTGTATGACTCACCTTTGCTGGCATCCTTGCCCGGCTTCAGTAGCGGGACCACCCTGCCCATTTTCCAGGCGTCGGGAACTACTAGGGTGGATAACGACAAGTTGAGGGCTTTGGTGAGATAATCTACTCCTGGCTCATCAAGCTGCTTCAACATCACCATTGAGATTCCATCTGGACCAAGCGCTTTGGATGATTTCGCGTTCCTGATGACATTTGCAACATCCTCCAACGTAAATTGTGGTGGTTCCTCCTCCACCTGAAGAGAGCGTATACGGCGCAACACTCTTCTCTTCGCCCGGTCACTCTCGGGGTGCTCTATAAACTGCCGGTTGAAATAACACGCGCACCTCTTCGGATCTGTCACCTCAACGCCTTTAAACGAGACAGAAGTCCGATCCTCCTTCTTTCCAGGGTTCGAGAGCGACTTAACCGTTGCCCACAATTTACTCACTCCGGTACTGATGTTGCAACACTTCAGATGCTCTAGCCACTTTTTCCGCTTATGCTCGCCGACTAACCTGTTCACTTCCAACGTCAGTTCTCTGACTCTGGGGTTAGTAGGGTTAGAACGGCGAAGCTCATTCGCTAGTCCCGCTGCCTCTGCTGGGAAGTTCGGTCTTAGTTCGGGTATACGACCCGCAGGTATATAGCGAGCGGCTGCAGCAGTGATGATGTCCCGGAAATTCCTTTCTGCTACCCGAGCGTCAGAAGGGATGGGCAGTTCTCTGAAGCGACGATTGGTGAAATTTCTGAACTCTTGCCAATTGGCTTTCCCATGATTAAGGAAAGTACGGCGTTCAGAAGTTATGAAATCGGGTGGTCTGTTGATGGATATGATGATAGGGAGGTGGTCTGACCCCAATGATATGACGGGTTGCCAAGCCACGTCATTCGTCAGACCCGGAGACACGATGGATGGACAAATTCCCCAGGTGGGTCCGATTGGCACCAAATTTTGCACAACTTATAGAAGTTATTATGAGGTAACGTGTTGCAAGTTTTGTTGAAATCGGCTTAGATTTCGATAAAGCTTTTATAAATATTTTCGTCCGATTTGAAGTAAATGGTGTACCAAACTCCTCATGTTTATCAGATATGTATACAAATAATCAAAGGGTATCCGTCTGATATATGCTTTATTGATTTATTGATTTATATAATTTTGTCTCATTGTAAGAAGCAACTCTGTATCTGACCAAATGAAAAATTTAGTATAGGTTGCAGAAAGATATGTTTATGGGTCCAATTTCATTTTACTGATCCTTCAAAAACTCGACGTCTGTTAAGATGCATCTGTTAAATATACCCAAAGTAGTGAAGGGTATCATATAGTCGGCCCCGTCCGACTTTACTACTTTCCTTACTGGTTTATTATTAAAATTATTATTATTAAAATATTTTAATTATAATACATGGTGCGGATTTCGGGAACCTTTTATCCAATTCTCGGCATGGCTAAATAAGGCATTTCAAAGGTTAAAAGAATTTAAGATTAAACATTAACATTTTTTCCAATTTTAAGCCAAAATGATCGAAAAGGTGCTTATTATTCACGGTTTGTTTTTCGGAATATGGTGTGTATATTCTGACAGTACATTTTGAGACCTTTCAATTGATGTGGGTCTCCATACTGCATCCATTTTAGTTTTTGCGCTATATGGCGTTTTCTACACAGAATCGCCACTGTCACTGAGACTTGCAAGGAAAATCTAGAAAGTCCGTTAGGCGAAAGTTTGTTGCTGACTAAGCATCAATACAATCGAATCTGTAGTGCTATCTTCCGTTTTTTATATTGACATAGTTATGTTTAAAATTTATAAAATCTTGGATAATTTCCCTTTCAAATAACACAAGAAATCGTTAAAAACAATAAATAAATAATGGTGTATATCACTGGTACTGTGAACTTACTCAGAAACTTCCATTTCTAAATTTTATTTTTTTTATTTAACTTGCGTTTTCACTTATTAGATCTTAATAATAAGAATTGTTCAAAACCACCTGGAAAGCACAGATGTTTTTACCTGCCAAGTATTAAAGTGGGAATTCCCCACTTTAACCAATTTAAAATATTCAAAAAGGATTGATCCAGACATCGAATAATAAAGTACAATCAATTGCCGGAACAACAACAACAAATGCATATAGCACACTTACACACAAAAGATTTTTTCACAATTTGCAATTAATTAATAAAATAGCCTCTTCAATATAGTATAGAAATATCTAAGAAACAGAAAAAATATTCTCAATTACATTTCAAACATTTATTAGCATGTGCTATTTCATAACGCCGCTGAATAAAATTTCTTAAATTTGTTCAAAATAAATCGGAAAATAACAAAATAAAACCACTCACGGCATGCAAAAATAGCAAATAGCAGAACAGAAAATAACAATAAACCAAACGAATGTGGCGAACAAAACAAAACTCGACAATGATAAGAACAAACACGCGACATACAGACAGAACGTCAGAGTCAGTCTGTCAGTAATATGTATGTAGGTAAGTATGACATCGGCAGCTAGAACCAAGACCTTGTAAGCAGGCAGTCAGTCAGGCAGACAACAAACATATGAAATACGACGCAAGGGGGAGATACGGATAAAATTAATTACTAGAATGTTCTACACACATCGCGAAATTAATGATCATTTGCAAAAGAAAAAATATTAACCAAACGAAGAAGATAAAACAAATAAATAAAAAAATAAAAGAAACTATTGACTACTGTTTCTCAAATAATTTCTTTTTAGCTAAACTTACCTACGACCGATTGTGCGTTCCTGTTTATCATTGCAGAATGGTATGGCTGGACGGAGGTGTTTATCAACAATTATTTGATCGTTGCTGGCCTTCGGGATGTTAGACGACATTGTTGCTTCGTCTGCGGGCGGAACTGGGGGAGGCGGTGGTGCTGGTGGTGAATCGGGAGATGACACAATGGGAAGTTGATGAAGATGAGGATTTCTGTGATCGAGTGTTGCTGTAGCAACGCCGGCAGCGAACATGGACGTGAGAATTGCAAGATGTAGAAGAGATTTGCGACAGTTGTGTACGGCATTCAGCTCATTTTGAATGCCCATAGTTTCGTTCTGGGGAACACGACGATCGACGAAGCACACAAACTCTCTGCTACGACACTACATTCAAACGCGTGTATTTGTTTTTGTTGTTTCTCCACTCTCGTTCGCCTTGTGGGGGGAAACTTAAAACGCGACGAGACAAGTGGTCAAGTGTTTTTCTACGCGATCGAACCGACGGAAAAAACAACAAACGTCACAATTAGGCAAACCGAAAATAAAAACATACACAGAAACGACGAAAAGTTTTCTTTTCCTTTTATTATTATTTATTTAGTTTATTTTTGCGTAGCACCACCACAGCAGAGCTTAGCTAATTACGTGCCTGTGTGTGTGAGACAGAGCTGTTACACGATGAAGTTTGGAGGAATTGTTATTCTTTGAGGCGCCCATCAAATACCACGACACCACTATGGAAGACGACGTCGTTGTTGGAATTGGGGCACGTCTATTCATTACTTTATACTTTGCAAGTATAGTTTAGCAAACACGCCGACGTATTTACGAACGAATCGTCGAAAATTTGAAGATAGAAATTTTAATTTCAAGTTTATTTTTTTGGAAAAACAAAATGCACGCAATCAAACGACAAAACGGCAGTGTCCAAGTCAATGTATTTCGCAACTAATGATAAATGTCAGAAAAAGACAGGTGGTAATGGCATTATATCGATATGGCGATAGGTGTAAAACATCGATAAACTGTTATCGACCGTTTTAATAAGAGCGCCGATTACAATAAACTCGAATTATTCTTCATGTATACATGGATATTTTTCCACAAGAATACAATTCATAAATCTAAAGACAGATTCCTTGCTACTTTACACGATTTTGCTGCACTGTAATGCATTTCTTTGAATAAAATGGCTTGACACTTTAAAATAACAATCGATAAATTAAATTCCAGTCACTTTCAAACAGTTTAGGAAGTGTTTAGAATTTTGAACTTTTGAAGAAGAGTTGCCATTACCATTCACAAATAATTCGAGGCGATTTTTTTTTTTTTTGCAAACTACATTGGAGGTCAAAATGGGACTCTTTTTGCCGAATGACAATACTTATGCATAATCTTCATAGAAATTACTACCGGAAAAACTGCACCCATAGTGTCTAAAGTGGAATTTGATCTATGTTTTAAAAGATTTGTGAGTTTCACTTTTTCTTGCGTATTTTCGGGGATATGGGCTTTCAAATACTGAGTTTGTTGGCGAGAGGGGTGCGAAGAAGAAAAACAAAAATTTGCCTGTTCAGAATTTGCCGTACACGCAAATTCTGCTTTGCTCTGTTCGTTGAAAACAATTTTGTTGACATTTCCTTTTGAACCTACAGTTGGAATGACATAACAACGAAGAATTAAATTCCTTAGTAGTTTACTAATATTTTAGACTAATAGATACGTCTTTTTGTTAGACTTTGTTGGGTTCCCGGGCATAGTGACTTAATAGATAATGAAATAGATGAAGAGCCTGCTCGTACTGGCTCGCAGTCGATCAACAACCACCTCTCAGCTATTACATAGGTAGAATCCATAAGATCTTTTTAGAGACAGCGGAAAAAAAGGAGATGAAACTGACTGTAGGGATAATTACTGCCCACTGTAGAATTAGGTCCTAACCTAACTTTCTCCATTTCCATATCCTGCTCTTTCTCCCCTTTCTTTTTTTATACCCTCCACAATAGTGTTTCCGTTTGTAACTAATCGAAATATTCATTTCCGACCGAATTCACTGAAATATCGGTCCACTTTTTCTGGTAGCCCTGATATAACGGTACCCCCAATTTACGGTATTTTGGGGCTTTTAAGCGCGTTTTTAACCGAATTCGCTGAAATTTGGTACAATGCGTTCTTATTGGGTACCAAATTTATTCATTATAAAATATATAGGCCCATTTTTCGGGTAGCCCTCATATAACCCTCAATTTTCGGTATTTTGGGGTTCTTGAGCGCGTTTTCAACCGAATTCGCTGTAATTTGGTTTTTTGTAGTCGCATATGGTAACAAATCTCCCTGCCAAAAATGGTTAATATTCGGCCCTTTTAGGTGTAGTTCCCATATAAACCCCTTCTTGTATTAAAATTGTTAGCAGATTAGTTCCGTATATAGGGGTTGGCCCCATATAGGCGTATAGTATAGGGGCTAGTCGTTACGCGAAATAGTCAGCTTTACGCTACAAATTATGGAATTCTAAGACGATATAACCATCTGTTGTAATCATTCCGCTTTCGAAGGAAATCGTGATAAAAAATTCGAACCTGACGATAATGAGATATATCGGCCAGCATTTAGTCATCTCCCCATATAATTATACCTCCTGAAGGAAAGAATTGAGACACGAAACAAAAATATTGGGTTCGAAATTGACATATGTCGGTCATTAATTAGTCATAGCCCTCATATATTTATAACCCCTAATATTCGCTAATTCCTACACTATGTAATCTAAATTGCAGTAGTTTGAGGATTGTATATTATACCCACGCTTTGGGGGTTTACATTAAAAATTTCTGAAATTTGTATGTGGTGTACATAATGGTTTACATAAACCGGTTTGTAGAATTATCGGTATAGGTTCATTTTTGGTATGTTCCCTATATTTTCATTTCAAGTATCTGTCAATATACCTATGGTGGAGGGTATCCAAAGTTCGGCCCGGCCGAACTTAACGCCTTTTCACTTGTTTCTTTTAGGATGAACCCAATGGATCATTCGTTTAATAATGCGGTGTGCCACTATTCACCGGCGTTATGTATTATTTAAGCAGGTCTACTTCGTCAGTTCCACATACGACTAATACTCTCATACATCTAGCTGATCTTGTAAGTCTCTGGTAGAAGTCTAGAAGTAGTAAGAAGTATAATAAATGGATGTGTAAATTTTATTTAAAAACTTGTACACCTGAAGCAATATTCCTGTCGTTATCAACATAGTACAACAAATGATTGAAGCAAAAATTGGTTTTATGAAGGCCAGTATTACAAACATAAGGCTGTAATGTAAACGTCGAAATGAGGGTCCCTAAGTTATCCAATTTTTCGGTATTCTATCACTTAAGTAAAACTCTCTAACGTTAGAATGGTATACGACTTTCCTTAGGCTTATCAATCACTACCTCCACACCTTCGTCTAGACTTTGTATGCCAATATTTGACGATTGATTTTCAGGCTCGTGTTATTTTCATTTCAATGCAAATATCCCCGTTAGATATTTCATTTCATAAAATTCCCACAACTTTTTTAGGTAAGCCAGCTTAATCTCTTTTGTTGTAGCTTAAAAAAATTAAAACAAAAAGATTTTTATTTGTAAAGTGGGTCATGGCCACATAGATTACTTTCGGGAAAGGCAGGTAATTCCTCATAATATAAAATAAATAGGCACAAACTTTTTTTATTTTCTTTTGTTTTTTTTTTATTGATATTTGCAATTATGTATAACATAAATTTGAATTTCAACAGGGGATTTAAAAAACTAACATATTCCGGTATTCCAAAACATATAAATATTATGCAAAAAGTGAAAATTATGGATACATAAATTATAATTATAGATTTGGGGACAAAAAAATTCTTCTTGGCCTGTAAACAATCGACAAGTCTTAATTTATAATATTATAATAATACAAACTAGTTATGAAAAAATGGATACAATTTAAATCAAACTTATTCAAAAAATAACATGTATCGAATAAATACAAAGTTACAAGCTTGTTCTTCTTGCTCAGCTAAGATCTGACACAGACTACAGAAGAAAACGTTCTAAACAAACAGCAATGCCATCGTTTAACAATCAGAATTATTTCTGGGAGTTCGCCAATGACAATCGAGACTTCACACCATCCCACATCCTGCGCTTAATTACCACCTTCACGTTGTTTACACTTATCTATGCATTCCTTCAATTTGGCGCTGAAACTCTCGGCCAATTCAACTTTCTTGAAGCGCACTGCCAGTTTTTCCAATTCTCCCTCCGACGATTCGGCATAATTCATGGTAGCCCACACAAAACTCTTGGGATTGTTATTCATGTTCGAAAAGTGGAAATCTCCGGTGACAGCGTGATTGAGTACTAACTTATGAATTTGCTCGCGGCGCATTACCAAACGATAGGATTGTTTAATTGGGTGCATTAAGAGTTTTAATTCGCCAACACCTGCCGCCAATGAGAAGAGATTTGAATAGTACGTAGAAATGCAATAGGAATAAATAGAATTACTTACCTCGCTCCTTCCATTCCTTGTTTGTGGCATCGTATCTGTAAAGTGTAGCTCGTTCTCCAAAGATTTTGGTTTCTTCTTCTTCGCCAGTTGTTACGACAATTTCATTTGGCAACTCAATAATGGGGTCATAATGAGGGTCGTAATTCTCATCATTTTCGCCGGCGGCATCATCAGCAGCACCGCCATCTATGCTTTTCTGCGACTCGTTTGCTTTGGATTTGCTTGCGGAGGTGTCGGCATCTTTGAGGGGTTTACTGAAACTAGAGAAAGCATCTTGATTTGTCAAACCTATGAAGCCACCAGGGCCAGGTTTTTCAGAAGGTTTTCCCAACAACGGCTGACTGTCAGCCTTTGCCGCAAGACTGGCAAAGTCTATAGCGGCTGTGGATGTCTTAGATAAGTCTGCAAATGCTGTTCCTGTTGATGCAGTAGACGTTAGCTTAGATCCAGCATCTTTGGCGATACTTCCAAATGTTGGTGTGTTCGATCCAAATATTGAGCCTTGTGTAGACCCAAATCCGCCAAATCCACTACTGTTTGTGGTGGCCGAAGTACCAAATATCGAAGTGCCACTTCCCACACTTTGAGTGCTATTATTGGTGGTCGTACCAAATATAGATTTAGTGGTATCTGCTGCATTGCCGGAGGTATTGAAAGCAGGCGATCCAGATCCAAAAACAGGTTTGCCACCAAATATAGAGCCGGACGATGTTCCTGTAGTGGCAGAACCACCAAATATGGAAGGCTTTGTTGCAGTCTTTTCTGTAGATGTGGAATCCGCAGGAGTAGAGTTACCGACCGTAGCAGATCCACCAAATAAATTAGTTTTAACAGCAAATGGCGACTTAGTTTCCTGTGAAGCACCGCCGAATATTGAACCGCTAGTTGCTGTCGCTGAACCACCTCCCAAAGCCGATCCACTGCCAAATAGGAATCCTCCAGACCCGGCGGTGGGTGTGCCGCCCACGTTCTTAGTTTCATCTGCAGGTTTAGTTGTACTATTTAGTGCAGCGGCAAATGAAAATGTGGCATTAGAAGGTTTATCGCCGGTAGCAGGAGCGCCAAACGCCGTGGAATTCGCTCCTCCAAAACCGCTAAATATACTCTCATTTATTTTTGTTGTCTCAGTTTTCGCAGAAAGTGGTGATAATGCGCTTTGTTTCAGGATCGTGCGGTTGGACGATTTGTTCAGTAGCGACAATTCCGGTAATTCCATTGGCTCAAGGGGATTTTTGGTATCGTCTGGGCTGACAAACTGCTCGCTAGACTTAATTTCGGCAAACACAAATTTGTCTGGATCGCAGCCACGGCATCCTGTGCATGTTGGTTTGGCCGTAAAGAACTCGTATGGCAATTTCAATTTGTCTGCTGTCTTTTTGTCTTCTTCGGAAATATTTAATGCACTGGCGGGAGCACTTGTATTTGTGGGTGTTGTAATTGAAGTGTTGGCGGGTGCCTCAATGACTTCAGCGGTACCGTCTAATGCATTCTTAACTGCAGTCATAAATCCTTCGGCTATTTCCTTGGTTTTAAAGCGCAAAGAGAATTGTTCCAATTCAACAGCGCCCTCGCTGAAATCGTTGACAACAAATAGCCAGGACTTTTCGTCCTTGCGTTTGTAATCGACATCTTCGTTGAGTATATGGTTGAGGCATATCTTCAGGACCTGTTCACGTCTCATAACTACACGCAATTTCTTCGTTTGCTTATGGCGTAAGATTTTCACATTGCCCAGGCCTCTTTCCTTCCATTCACCCTCGGTAAAACGGTACAACTTTGCCCGATGCACATACAACAAGTCTTCGTCCTCTTCGCCGGTTTTTACTTCAACCTGAAAGACAAATATAACAGTCAAAAAGGGTTTCGATAAGTAGAAATAAATATTAGACATACCTTATCGGGCAATGGTATAACTGGTGTAAAGTATGTGTTGTTCTCCTCCTCTTCATGGTATTCACCATCGCCATCGTCACCATCATCGGCATCACCACCTCCCAGTTTCAGTGGGCTCTTTCCTGCTTTGCCTGGACTTTTAGGTTTGAATGTAAAGCTGAATTCTTTTTTGTCCAGTGAAAAGGTATTTGCTCCCGAATCAGCTGTGGTCGCTGTCGATGGAATTGAATTCGATGACAGACTGAAACTGAATGTTGCCTTGCCAAGTGGAGCACTTCCAGGTTGCTCAGTTGTAGAAACAGCTGTATTGGCTCCTATTCCGCCAAGCCCGGTTGAGGTAGCTGTAGGTGGAGCAAATGAAAACAAGGAAGCTTGTTTGCTATCGGCTGCAGTAACGGGAGCAGCGCCGAAACTAAAGCCACCGCCAGCAGGTTTATTGGCAGTAGTAGTATCTGTTTTAGGTGTTGCCGTCGCAGCAGCTGGAGAATTAAAACCAAAACTAAACTTCGCCGATGGATTCGACAAATTCAAGACACTATTTGTGTTGGCGGTGGTGTCTTTCTTGGGAACAGTATCATCTTTGGGGGCGTCACAAGCTTTACAATAGATGGCATCGCCGGTATTGGAGAGGTAACAACCTTGGCATGTCCATGATCCTGCCTTGGGCTTGAAGGCATCACCAAATCCTGATGTTGGTTCCTTAGGGACAGCAGCAGGTTTAGTCTCAGTTGCCGGTTTCGAAGCGGCACTGGTGGCAGTTGGTGTTGGCATGCCAAATGTAAATGATGATTTAGTTGTAGTTGGCACTGCAGCTGTAGTTGCTGGCTGTGCTGGTGCAGTAGCTGCACCAAATCCAAAACTGAACGTAGTTTTACCACTAGTGGCCAACACATTGGATTTCACTTCCTTCTTGGGCACAGTATCATCCTTGGGACAATCACAAGCCACACAATACAATGTTTCTGCCGTATTCGAAGTATAACAGTCTTTACATGACCATGAGCCTGCTTTCGGCTTGAAGGCATCACCGAAGCCCTTTGTAGCTGGTTTTGTATCGGTCGTCTTATTGTCCTTGTTGGCCTCCACACTATCTCCCGACATTTGGGCTTGAACCTTTTCTATTGCATCGAGGAATTGCTTGCACGTTTCCGGAAGTTTAAAGCGCACAGTCAACATTTCTGTGACCAGTTCATTTTCAGAGTAGTCCTGACCAGCCCATGACACGGCTGTCTGAGAATTCTTGGCATACTTGAAGTGGGTATCTTTGTAGATCCTTTGGTTGCAACACAACTTATGGATTTGCTCACGTCGCATAACCAAACGAACTTTGTTACTGTCGTCCTTGTCTTGCAGCAATTTGATATTGCCCAATCCTCTCTCCTTCCATTCGCCGGCCTCCTTGTCGAAGCGTAATAGTTTAGCTCGGTGCTCGAAGAGAACTGTCTCATTTTCTTCTCCGGTAGTGACTTCAACTAACTCGGGCAGAGGTATGACTGGTTTGAACTGAGCAGTTGGCACATATTCATCTTCGCCATCGGACGCTGTCGATTTGTTCAAAGCTGTAGCATTGGCGGAATCATTTGCACCTACACTAGGCGATGCTGTGACAGCGGAGGGAACAGCTGGACTTGCACTAAATGGCGATGTAGTCGATTTATTAAGATTGGAGAAGATACTAGCAAATGGTGAGGCTGTTGCAGCAGTTGTGGTCGGGGCGGTAGCAGTTGTATTACTGGTGCTGCCAGTGTTGGATGCTGTGGAATTTCCAAAGGAAAAGCTGGCAAATGGAGATGCGGTGGTGGTAGATGTTTTAGTAGTCGAATCAGTGGTGCTGGTGGTTTTGGTAGACAAATTCAAACCGCTGAATAACGATTTGGAAGCTGGAGTCGTCGAAGGGGTACTGGAGGCAGCAGTTGTTGCAGCCGGCACAGTTGCTGTAGGAGGCTGACCGAATATTGGCTTAGGTTGAGATGGGGTGCTGGTGGCAAAGTTCGTTGTTGATGATTTAGCCAATGAGAATGGCGCTGCTGGCTTAACTGCCGGTTCAGCTGTTTTGGTCTTAACGTCCTCAGCCTTTGTGGAAGTCAATGATTCTGCTTCCTTCTGGGCCTTTTTAAAAGCTTCTTGGAATTCTTTGGCAATTTCGGGTACCTTGAAGCGAACAAAGAATTTCTCTAGTCGCAGCTCCTCATCGGCAAAATCATTAGCTGCCCATATGAAGCCCTTGGTTTCCTTATTAGGAACTGTCAATATTAGCTCCGGAGTAATCTTGTGATTTGCACATATCTTGTGAGTTTGATCACGTCGCATAAGGATGCGTGAGGAGCCATCCTTATTCTTGAGAATCTTAATGTCGCCAATTCCACGTTCCTTCCATTCCTTTTCGACGTGACGGAATAGTTTGGCCCTATTGCAGAACATCACCTCCTCTTCTTCTTCGCCTGTTCGCACTTCTATCTCGTCTGGCAATGGTATAATTGGTTTGAAATCTGGACGTGGGTCATATTCTGCGTCTTCGGCACCGGACTTATTGAAGTCACTGCCAACACTTTCCGTAGTCTTATTCAATGTGGTATTGGCGTCGGAGGATGCGGTGTTCACTTGAGCTGCAGTGGCAGCGGCAATGTGCGGTTTAAAACTGAATGTCGATGAAGTAATCGCTGTGGACGATCCAAATATGTTTGTAGCTGTTGCTGTGGTTGTTGGGGCCACAACAGCTGAAGTAGTTGGCGTTGACTTGTTCACGGGAATGGCAATTTGTGCCGAGAATGGTTCCGTTGGCTGGCTAACTAGGCTTGGTTTGATATGATGTGATGGTATGGTGACGCTAAGTGGTGCTTGTTGTTGAGTCTGCATAGAAATACTATTGGGATTTGGTAGTGGATCCGAGCTTGTTATAACTACATTAGCTGGAGGTCCTTTCTCGACTGGTTGGCTGTTCAGAGCTTTATTAAAGGATATGGGTGCTGTGGTAGGTTGTTGTGGCGGACCCAATGCACTTCCAGATGGCGGAGGTATACCCATGTTGTGGCTTAATGGAGTGGAGAATGAAGTAGGTTGCATTCCGGAGGTAGCAATAGATGTTGGTGTCATTGCAACGGGAGGTTGTTGCAGAAGATTGTACAAGTTACTTTGCCTGGAAGGATCGGTAGCACCTGTCATATTTGGTGGTTGATTTGGCGGTGGCAGTAGTGGTGTCGACTGTGGTGGCATATTGAAGTTCATACCACCCGGTTGCACTGTTGGGTCTAAATAGGGCGGCATACCAGGCAGACCAGCATTTCTTCCGGCACCCAAACTCTGCGGTCCACCGCTCTGAGGAGCCATCATATATGGAGGAGCATGACCATAGAAATTGAGAGGATAGTTTGGTGTAGGAGGAAACATGGGACTGTTGTATGCGGCAGCCTGTAGCCGTTGTTGCTGAGTCATAAATGGAGAATTTGCTAGCATATTGCCGGGAGCTCCACTCACCGGACCAGGACCATATTGATTAGTTTGATGTTGCTGTGTTTGCTGCTGCTGTTGTTGCTGTGGATACATTTGCTGTTGCAGAGTTTCCTCAATAATGTATAAGTCATCCAATACATTGGAGGCGTCGTCTCTTGAGGGAGGATTTGACGAAATACGAACTTTTTTGATGGCATCTTCCAAATTTGCCATTTTATCCTTGAGCTCATTAATTTCCTTAGTTACTTCGCGAAGTTCTGTTTTAAGAGCGTCAACAATGGCGTCCTTCTGTAGGGTAAGGTTCGAGGCCATTTGTTTAACCAAATTTTCTAGTTCTTGATTTTGTTGCAATAACATTGCACTGCTGGGCAGGGTGTCACGTCTCGAACGGTTGGAATTCAGGATGCTTGCGGGAGGCAGAATAGAATTTTCGGCATAGAAATCTGCTTCGGCATCTTCATAAGTACTGGAATTGTTGTGGCCAGTAATGGGACTGAAATTAGTCGAAGAATCACTTAAGAAGCGATTTGAGGATTGCTGAAGTCTCTTGATTTCGTCGTGAATGACCGAGTTCAGTGGATGATTAGGGTCGGCATGAGCACTGCTCTTTAATAAAGCCAATGTTTGGTTCAAACAATCCGAGGCGCGATCCAAATACAAACGCTTGCTTTTCTTGGGTGTCTTACTGGCTTCGTCCAATTTTCGATAGGCTTCGGCTTGCAAGTATGTGGCATATGGAAGCTGGATACCTGATAGCTCTTCAATCAAATCTTCATATTCCGATTTCTTGAAGTAGCGCGTTGCAAGATACGATACAGCGTCCTCCGCCATTGATGCTACTTCTCTTTCAACGGCTGATGTATTGGCCTTGGCATATTTGAAGTACTTGCGGAATGGCTCCAGCACAGCTTTATTGTGCATCTTCATCATGTTAAGACCATGTTTGTAGATTGACTCAGCCCTTGCTTCAAGGAAAGCCTTCTCCACAGGCTTCACAATGTCTTGAGCTCTCGAAACAAATATCTGTCCCAATTTGAAAACAATGGCCATGTCCAATTTTGGCCCATTAATACCACGTACAGCTTCAATGCCATACTGTAGGTTGGCTCGAAGTTCAGCCAAATTACTGCCATTACTCAGATTTTTATAGACCAAATATGCACTGTTCCACCATTGGCATTGTTCCTCCGAACATAGTTGATGTTGCAAATTGACAAAGGGTAATATTTTTGGCCTACCAGCAGCATAACTGTTACCCGATTGATAGCTATCGAAAGCCTCACGATCCACTTCCAGAGCTCTCTTGGCCTGTATTGTTGCAGCGTATAAGAAACTCTCGACATCCAATTGATTTAGTGATTCGGCTCCACAGAACAGAAGATTTTGTGTAGAGAAATTAAGTCCACTGAAGTATTTGGCACGCACATAGGCCAGATTATCATTTCCCAAGCACAAGTAGACCATATGTTGAAGTGACTGTGGTCGATGGTATTGGGCGGATTCTTCATAAGTTTCGAGATCAGCGTATGTTGGCAGCTCGTAAATGGGTTCATTGAATTTCTCACTTTTGGCAAATAGGGATGATTGTTCCTTGACTTTCTGGTCGCTGTTGCAGAACAGCAGGGCAAACACATTGCGTCGCCATTGGCGATCACAACAAATCTGTCTAACTTGAGCCAATAAATCGTCACCACTGCTCCACAGTGTAGATGGTTGACTACGCATTAAATTGTTGACGTTATGAGCGTTTTCCTTATTGGCGTTGGCATCATCTTGAATACATGAAAGCAAAGTTCTACCAACCTACAAATAAAAGTTTTTTTTGTTAATGGATGTAAGAATCGAATGGAAATTTGTGTTAACTTACTTGAGCGCAACGGAATGATCCTTCCCGCTGCCACACAGCGATCAACTGATTTGCATCTTCATCGCAGTGCTTCATCCATGGTTCCTTTTTGTCAGTAGCATTTTCTTGATAGGCCAGCAGTAGCAAGGGCAACGCTGCACGAGCCGCCTCCTTCCATTTGTTTTTATTCTGTAACAATTCCCGTTTGAATATCAAAGCGCTGGCATGCAGCAATAATTGTCCACGATAATGACTCAAAAATAATTCAACCAATTCTTTCTGGGCACACAATTTATCCGAAATTTGTGAAATTTTATACAAATATTGATCGAACTGGAATAGCAAATTTGCCGTTTCGGTAACACCACCACCCACCAAGGATGAATTGGATGTCATAAGGAAGGAAATCTGTACTTGACGTTCCAAACAGAGGGCAAGCAGTAACCAGAAATCCCAATCTTTCTTCGTGTTCGGCATTTGTTCGTATTTGTTGAGAACCAACCAAACCACATTGTACCATTCGCTGCTATTGACGAACTCATCCTTCTGTCGCATTTCCAATTTATGCACATATTTAAAAGCATCCAATATTTGATTTTGTTCCACGTAGTAACGCACCAATCGCACTCTTAGATGAACATCATTGGGTTTGTTGGAAATCTCTTTTTGCAATAGAGCCTCAACCTGATTGGCCTCAATGTTGTCTTTGTTCATGAGTTTGAGACGCAATGAAAATACTGCATCATGTTGCACCTTTTCCGATTCAGCCAATTCGCACCAATATTTGGCTTTGTTACAATTAAGATTTTTATCCTCAAGTAACAGTTGGCACACTTCGATAAGGACATCATGTTGCTTCGGGTTCAATTGCAGTGATCGTTGAAATGATTGTAGAGCTTTTTCGGTTTTTTTCTGACGCTGGTAGCATTGACCGAGTAACTTGTGAGCTTGATCATTGTCTTCTTTGACGGATAGATATGAGCATAAATATTGTTCCGCTGATGCGTATTCATTGATTTTAAAGTAGAATTTTGCAAAGGTGTAACCACGTAAATTTCGCTGAAAAGATTAAGGAAAATTTTATTAAATTTTTTCTATATATGGTAAACAATACATGTGGATAATATAAGTATGAGATCGAACTAAAATATACATACATAATTTCTTTAGTTTATAATTAATTTAAATAAAATATTATTGACGGGCATTTTTTATAGTTTGTTTATTTATTAATTATTAAATTTTAAAAATTGTAAAACTTTCTGCAGCCTTTAGGAAACCTTAAAAAATAATTATTAAAAAATGCGTGTTTTCCACCCAAATGCGGAATAAATTGGTTTTAATGTATCTAAATAGTACTATAAATATTTTAAAAAAATGTTTTATTTTTTATTTTCGAGTTAAAGATGAAGAATTGTTCGCTATACCAGACATCGTGTTGTGTAAAAAATTCAGATGAATATCTTCAACACACACTGCTTGAGAAGCTGTAAAATCCATCTGTTTTGCAAAACTGATTTGTTTTGACATTGAACTTATATACAGCAGATGCCAACCAGTACATACCGACATTAGGAACATTTTTTTGCAACAAAATTTATAATAAAGAAAAAACTGACTTTCTTCAGAAAATTATGAATTAATTGCCTAAAGAATTGATATTGATTGTTCAACTTTGAAAACAATATTTCATAACAACTTTATAATACAAAGAAAATATTTATTTCACAAATCGGAATTTAGCTCATTGAAATAACCATTCCAGAAAATTGTTTTGATAAGCGTTCTACACTAGATAGATTAATTTGTCGGAATGTAATAGTTGGTATTTTCTGTATAAAGAACATTTCATATCACTAATCGTGGAAAAAGCTTTAATACTCTACAAGAATATTGTAAGATTTCTCTGAGTACAAATTAATAAAGCTAAGTTTTTTTTATTAAGCAGAAATTAAATTTTTTTTGTCAGCCAATGTGGTTTTTTCTTTTATCACAATAGTTCATATTTCTTAAGAGAACCCCACCGTTCTCGGTTTCAAAATATTAAATATAATTCGAACGTGCACTAAATTCATGAATGTTCCTTCAAAATTGCAAGTGAAAATCTGAACAACTCTTCAAAGTACAACCGATATATTGTGTTGCATTAAGAAAAAATGGAGGAAATGATATAAAGATTTTTAACTATAACATATTTCAACTAGATTTTGTTAATTGCATAAAACTTACTTACAGAACATTTTCGAATTTAAAATTATAAAAAATTTCCAATAAATTCAATTTAAAATTGATTGAGTCGGCATATGGATGAAAGCATATTTTTAATAATTTACATACATACATTTTATGTGTATAACTATTAGACGGTAGAAATGGCTCGTCCATAAAAATGACCCGATCGATTACCACTGCCACCATCATTACTTTTGTTCACTTTACACCCCGACCAGGCAGGTGGTGTTTGCATGATTTATAATTTTTTTGACATCAAAGAGGAATTTGGTAAATAATTTAATATAAACCTCAGGCTCCTATGACTCCTGCTTCTACTACTGGAACATGAGTTATAAGTTTAGATACGTCTATCAAAGAATTATAAATATTTTTAATTGTTTTTTTAATCTAGAAGGTTAATGCAATGATAATAAATTTCTAACCACAATTTCGATTGACATTGACGGAACCAAAGATTTAGGAAAAAATATACTGATGAAATTTTGGAGACCATTCCAAAACAGAACAATACCTATGTTAGCATATACAATATGCATTAACAATACCAATGTTAGCATATAAAATATGCATTGAATATAATTATTGTTTTTTCCTACACGTCCTTAAATACCATAGTTAGGACAAATTGGAATTATGAAAATAATTTGTATTCCCCTGCGTAATTAAAAATGTTCCCTAATTTGCTTCTAAAATTTATAGTCCATCTAGTCCATTTCTTTTAAAGAATGAACATTTTCAACCACTTTTTTCATGTTGTTGTTTTTTTTTCTTTTTTAAATATAACGACATTTGATTGCATAGCTTGCCAAAGGAGAGAGGGAGAGTCATCAACACAAAACAAGCCGGCATCTAATGGCGCGCAAGAGAACAAAAAAGAGAGTTTGCAAACACACGCAAACAGTCATAACCTCAACAACATCTGTCTGAGGCCATGTCTGTTTTCTTGCCATGGCCAAGCAACATTTATAAAAAGAAATCAATAATAATAAATGTATGTAGTAATGATGAATGTTCGTTTGCTTGCATTTTCCTCAAATTTTCCACACCAACGCATTCAAATGCATACAAACAAAATCAAATCATCATCAGCCAGACAATTTATGTTCCTTCCCAATGACAAAGCAAGCCATCAAACGTCATTCACGTGAAAAATCAATGTTTCTTTTTCTTTCTAGTAGTTCTTTGCAAACTTCTTACCTCATGTTCCGATTTTATTTTGGCAAAAACAGTCCGCACTTGGGCATCAATATCCTTTTTGGTTTTGTACATTTTCGCTGTTGGGCTTGGGCTATTTGTTTGACGCTTCTAAACAATTGCTGGAGACAGCAGACAAAAATACCGCCGCACACGAGTTTTTCCAATGCAGTTTGCAAGTTGTGAAATCCACAGCAGATTTGTTGGCGATAGTATGACGTCTTCGGGCAATTTAAATGACAAATAATTTCAAGGAGTTCTTTTACAACTGGGAGCACTTCTTTTTCAATAGTTTTCACAACTTTTTAATAAATTTCAGAAATTTTCTTCTTGTCTTCTGTTAAATCACTCCCAACACGAATAAAATTTTCGCCAGTGCTCGTTGCCGCGACTGCTTGTTTGGTTGATGGTTGCCAAGTTGCTATCGTTGTGCAAAAGAAGACGATGGCAAATTTGCGCAGGGTTGTATTGACAGTTGTATGCTATTACTAAATGTTGCGCGGCGACGTAAAGCGTACGTCGTAACGTTGGGAGGTTACACAAACAGATGATTTTGAATCAGTCTGTGTTTAAGTAACGGCTTTGCACATTTTAAAGTATTTATATCATTCATGATTTAATAAATACGTAAATGTGAAGAATCGTATCATGAAAAAGAAATAAAATTGTTTTCATTCATGAATTTGATTTTTTTTTTGACAAGTAATGCATGTCTTCAACTGTCCTGTGTTCTCATAAACTACGTTTATACTTTTGAGATGACTTCAAATTCAAATCCTGCATTTGCGCCATAAAATTGTAATTCCTCCTCCTTCAAAATACGTCCTAATGAAGGCAATTCCTATCTAAATTGTGACAATGTGGATTAAAAATTTGCCAAAGAACATATGAAAGCAGTGAAAAGTGTTATATAAGTAAACTAAAACAACTGACAAATCATACAGACATCAAGGATTTGGTATCTCGAATTAAAAATCGAGTCGATTTAGAAGGTATAGTCTAAACGCGCTACATTGCTAAATAGAGATAACAAATTCACCACATCTTTTATAAATGCCGTTTTAGGCATGGTACAATAATACAAGGCAGGGCAGCTTGAGGTGAATAACAAAAAAGGAAAAGTCTTACGTTGTAATAATTATACCATGGTTTTAGGCAACTTATTGGAAATGTGTTTATAACTTTTTACCGAGTTAACCTACTTTATGATAACTTATTTGGTATGTATTCACAGATATATAATGAATTGACAATTTAAACCCACTGGGTTAACAAAATCCAGTGCAATACTACAACATAAATATGGAAGCAGAGGGAGGAAAAATTTGTTATTTTTTTTAATTTTTAAATAAATAAATATTTTTTGCACATTTTAACCTTATAGGATGTTTACATTGTACCGGATTTCGATAACCAAGTGGGTTTAAATTGTCAATTCATTGTATATATGTCAAATAAATCCTCATGACTAGGTTAACCCGCAAAAAGTTCTAATGTAAATGCCGTTTAATGGAGGAATATGAAATTATTGAAAGAAAAATTGCCACAGAAATTATGAAACTAGTCTAAAAAGCTAGGATTTTGTTTACAAAAAACAGTATTGTGTTTAAATTATCTTTATAATAGGTGTGTATGGTTACTTTTCCAGTAACATTTACTCAGTAAGTTCCAGTTCAGAGAGCAAGCCGTTTTTATTCTCGATATTTGGTAACAATTGTTACCAAATATCGAGTACTTTTTTAACAACGTTACCTAAAATTCAACGTGGCCCACTATGGCAAAATGTTTTGTACGGCCGTATTACTCAAATACGTCGAATCGATATCTCTTAGCGAACTAAACAAAATCGCGAAACAAATTTAAAAAATATACAATGTATTCAAATATTTCAAATTCTTCTTGAAATTTTTATGTATTCTTTTTGTTTCGTTTCAATTTTCAACAAAAGAAAAAAACAAAACTACGTTCTGTCATAGTTGAATTTGTTCAACTTTGAAAATTCGTACGTCGACGTATTTCGGTAACATTCATATGAATACATGCAAGGTGTATTTAATAAGGTGTAAGTGACAATAATATGGTTTCAAACTTTTTTCTTTATTGTTTGTAAAGTAAATTGTCAAAAACAGTTTCAATATTACATTTCGATTTCAAAAATGGTATTTAAATTTATAATAAAAATTCAATAATAGAAATTCAAGAAAACTACATTCATAGAGGGGGACGGAAAGGAAACGTAGGCTCAGTTATAACCCCGTTCGCCGATTGGTCCACATATTTTATGTTATGTGTGGAAATCTGTCCAGAAATCCCAGCTTCTCATAAAATCGAGGAGATTATGTTAGCGTATATTGGAATCGGCCCCTTGGTGCTTGTCACAATTCTCGGCGGAGGTTAAATACGCCTATGAAAAGATTTTATACGGTCAACACAATTTCCATGATTTAGTCTTTGGCTGGGGATTTATGTCCTTCAATTTTCTTTAAGAAGGCAAGATTTGAAGCCACTCCATAGAAAAAATAGATTGTAATCCACAATATAAACAACATCACGAGGAGCTATGGGCTAATTGTGGAAACTTAAAATTAATCGCGACCAGGTCTTAAACATTATTATTCATTGACCTAAAACCGCTAATAACCCAAGAATATACAAATTCATTAATTATTCCTCAAAAATAGATCTTGACAAAAATAAATTAATAATTGTTTTTGTTTATTTTTGTCAAAAACTTATTGTCAGCATGACAATTTAATTTCTATAACAACAATGTTGTTTTTGTAAAATATTTGTTGTTGTATCTGATGCATACACCTTATTAACCCAACGGTCAATAACCAAAAAAGTATACGTAGATCAATAACCGTGGTACATTTGTACCCATCCAAAGATAGCTCTGTAACTCATTAAAAAATTGGACTATCGTGAGGTTTTTTGTTTTAAATTAGTCTATGCGGATCTGGTCTAGATGTAGGAACTCAAAATTATATATACATTAAAATAATATATATTTAAATCCATGCTTAAATGATAATCTATCTAAAACAATCATAGTAAATTCGTTATAGCTTTCGAACGGGTTAATCTTTTTTAGTTATTTTTTTATTGGGATCTCATTTAGGTGTTCCTCAACCCTTCTGCAAATTTTTGTGGCCCTAGACAACATGGGGCCATCAGGGCGACTCGTGGAAGTCAGAAACTACCCTGGTTTTCCTTTGGTATACATGGACTAAAACAATTATTATTGCCAATTATTCACATTTTATGAGTTCAAAGATTGCGATTGACACATTTTTAACACTATTTAATACTTTAGTACGTTATTTAATGATAGTTTATATATTTACGCCAATTTATGATTGTAATAAATCAGACTAATTCGATTATAGAAAAAGTTTCAGGCCCAGTATGAAGAATAATTGGATAATTACGGACAATAATCATTGTTTTTGTCTCTGTATACCAAAGGAAAACCAGGGTAGTTTCAGACTTCCACGAGTCGCCCTGATGGCCCCATGTTGTCTAGGGCCACAAAAATTTGCAGGAGGTTTGAGGAACACCTAAATGAGATCCCAATAAAAAAATAACTAAAAAAGATTAACCCGTTCGAAAGCTATAACGAATTTACTATGATTGTTTTAGATAGATTATCATTTAAGCATGGATTTAAATATATATTATTTTAATGTATATATCATTTTGAGTTCCTACGTCTAGACCAGATCCGCATAGACTAATTAAAACAAAAAACCTCACGAAAGTCCAATTTTTTAATGAGTTACAGAGCTATCTTTGGATGGGTACAAATGTACCACGGTTATTGATCTACGTAGGTAATAACTTTAAAAAATTGTAAAAATTATAAAAATGGAAAATATTTATAATTTTTTTCTTCGATAATGTGTGAAAATACCTCAAGAATGATTCCTCAAAATTTGATCCAAATATCTCCATTATTAAACATTTTACAGCATTTTTATTCAAAAAAAGGTACAAATGTACCCGGTTATTGACCGTAGGGTTAAATACACCTTGAATACATGTGTTCTACTTTTGTGGTGAAAATCGTCGAACGCCCTAGTTGAATTTTAGGTAGTGCTCTAAGATAGCCTCATTATTCGAGATTTTGGGTTCGTCTTTTTAACAGAATTTATTCTAATTTGGTTCTCATTGGGTGTCAAATCGTCCAACCAAAAATTTACCATTTATTTGCCTTTTATAAAGATCTCGAAAAATAGCTGGCATTTTAACCCTTAATCAATTGTAAGATTTGACAATTTTTAAGAGAAGATAGTATAAATAAGTTTGCGTTAATTAATGTTTATTGGTTTAGTATAGTTTTGTTATCCCTTTTAGAACCGAGATAATAAAAAATAAACTGGGAACGAACTTAACATGTGATTCATGATTCAATTTTTCTACAAATACCTCAGAAAAACGATAAATGTCTGTGGGTCTAAAAGGGATAAATTTCCACCACAGGATGGAGGGTATAAGAAGCTAAGCCTGGCCGAACTCAACGACTATTTTACTTGTTTTGTATTAATCTAAACAGCTTGTATTTTGTAAATCGATTTAGAAAGCGGGTCGATTAAGAAGAGATAGTTTAAAATAATGTGGCAATATACATATGTAGTTATGTAACAGCCTTACCTAAAATTCAACTAGCTCGTTCGACGTTTTTCACCACAAAAGTAGAACACATGTATTTATATGAATGTTACCGAAATACGTCGAACGTACATAATTTCAAGTTGAACAATTTCAACTTTGACAGAACGTATTTTTAATTTTTTCTTTTGTTAAAAACAAAAACAAAACATTGTGGAAATTTGAAATTTCGAATGGAAACTAAAAATATGTGGATAAATTTAATAAATTTTCAATTTTGTTTTGCGGTTTGTATTATTTGCTAGAAGACATATTTGGGTAATACGACCGTACACAAAATGTTGGCATAGTGGGGAAGTTGAATATTTTTGTACGCCCCGTCGGATTTTAGGTAACGTTGTAACTTGGAAATTATGGAGCAAGGCTGGCCATATTAAACTGTATACGTGTACTGGTTTTATATTCCACTTTTACATAAATTTGGTTACCACTTGTAATGTACACATATGGTA